ATTCACAAGTGAGATGAAAGAATCAAGTCTCAAATTTGTTTCCCTGATAGAGTTGGAGAGTAAAACGAGAGTGATTTAAAGCATGGAGAATGCTGATCAGAAGTAATCAATGGTTTGGGCAAGCATAGTCAGTCACTCTTCATAGCTCTCCATGGTATGCATATTCAGAGAATAGTGATATAAGTATGACATGAGGGTGGAGTTTTCAGCTTCTTGATATCAAAAGGACATTTGCACAGGCCCAAATGAAGATTCAGTGGTTTCTACAAAAGTGGTTGTCATGTGTCTGAGGGTAACCTAGGCAACTGTTATCATCAAGACCAACACACCAAAGGTGTTAACTACAATAAAGCTAGTAGGAGATTAATATATAGCTCCAGTGAACTTCAGAGTCAGTGATTTTTAAAACCAACTAAAAGCAAATAACTAAGTGAGTCAGAGAAGTAAAATGTACAAAGGGTTGGTTAGTTTGTAAATGAATCTAGGCCAGCTATGTTTTTTTGGCTGATAATTATCGAAGTTAAGATTCTGTCTTCCCATGGAATCTTGGAGACAGAAGTCTGATTCTTTCCATGGTTACACTCTTGAGAATGACTCTCAGGTCCTCACTAGCTGCAAAAGGTACATATTTATTACTGCAAATCCTCCTTCAATAAATGCCCAGCAGTTGGCTGTGTCTTATATATCAAGAGTTTGGTTTTCGTTTCAGGCAGGAAGAAATGTGGTAACCAAGACCAGGAGTTCGAAGGGCATAGATCTTTGAGGAACTGATAGGAGTTTAATTAACACAGCATTATTGTTACTATTTATTAAATACCAGATGTTTCAGAGTGGTGATTAAGAGCAAGGGCTTTGAACTTAGGCAGTCATTTCATTTAATAGGTGGGTGATCTTGCCTAAGCTTAAGCTTCATGTTCCTTTTCTTCCTTTCTTCCTTCCTTCTTTCCTTCTTTTTCTTTTTTTTGTGGTACTGGGACTTGAATTCAGGGCCTTCACCTTAAGCCACTCCACCAGCCCTATTTTTGTGAAGGGTTTTTCGAGATAGGGTCTCATGGAACTATTTGCCCTGGCTGACTTTGAACTGTGATAGTCCTGATCTCTGCCTCCTGAGGATTACAGGCATGAGCCATCAGCGCCCGGCTAATGTTCCTTTTCTATAACATAATGGGTTAATGACATAAAAATCTGGAAAATGACTTGGTGTTCACGGAAGAGTAGGACTTTGTGTAAGTCTAAGAGCAATTTGACAGTTCTAACGTAATGATAATAGAATTACCCCCTAGGAAAAAATTTAAACTAATTATTTCTGAAACAACCGACAGAAGGAGAGGCATGGTGTGATACCAAACTGCCACTGAAAAAGAAATGACCCCTTCTTTTGTTTAATCTTGATATTTGTGTGTGTGTGTGTGTGTGTGTGTGTGTGTGTGTAAAACTGTACCTCCTGTTCATTTTCTTTTACCAATGCCTGATATCACGTAGTACACACAAATCTATTTTGTTTCTTTAAATAGCTACTTTACTACACAATAGTGAAATTAGTAAGGAGGATGTGGACAAAAGACTTAATAAACATTTCTCAATGATACACAAATGGCCAATAAGCACATTGAAAGACACTCCATACTCAATTAAGTTATCCATCAGTGAGTGATTCAGTTGTTTTTGTAAAGGTTCTACCAAAACACTAAGACCAGAATATGAAATACTGGTACATACTATTATGTGAGTGAAGTTCCCCTACCTCTGGCCTTAACCCTACTTTGAATTTTCCTTGCAGAGAGAACAGACTAGCTTTTCTCTTAGCGTTAGCTTTTTACAGAGGCTGTGATTATTAAGTGTGTATGGAATCTGGGGCTTATTTTCAAACAGACATCCTCTTGTCAGTTTCCTAGTAAAAAATTTTGCATAAGATTAGTCCTTTTACTAGTGTCCTGATGAATCCATTGGCCTTGCACTTTTACCTCTTATTCTGTGATGACATGGTAGTGATGTCTTACTATAATTGTTTTTTGAGATGAGGTCTCTCTATGTACCCCTGATAGCCTTGATCTTGCTATGTAGCCTAGACTGGCCTCAAACGCATGATTCTCTTGCTTCAACCTCCCAACTGCTGGGATTATAGACATGAACCCCCACACCCAGCTTTTAGTGTAATTTTAAAGTTCCTCAAAGACTGTTTGCGCTAAGGCTTGCTATTGACATTAGGATTTATTACACAGAGAAAACTGTTACTGGGAAAGGCAATCTGCCAAGGGTCCTAAGAGACTCTGCATGTTCTTACTGGATATGCAAAGAATGTAAGGCCCTGACCACTCTTTACCCAGGCAGATCATTTTTCAGTTGTGTCTACAGCAAGCAACCTTGGGGGATGAGGTAGCATTTTTCTATGAAAAACAGTGAATTCCCCAGACACAAATTTTTTTCATGTAATGCAAAGCACTGCATGTTCAGGCCTCCATCATGGGCCCCATGCCACTCCATGGGGTGAGCTGGTACAAACCAACATGAGACTCTGATTAATGCTTTTGCTATAATAATGTCCTTAGTCTCTGACCCATCTGTTTAGTGTCTTCTGCAAGTACCTATCAAACGGTAGCAGGCTAACTTGTTAGCTTATAAATAGCATAAGGTCTCAGACTCTGCACCAGTTCTTCACAGGTCTTTGCAGATATTATCCCTAAAGCAATTATATCAAGGAAATGTTCCTATCAGCATAATTTTTCTCATGTCTGTGTACCATCATACTATTAATATTGTGTTCTACATAATGTTCTTCTTCAAACTGACTCACTTATATATAATTTGAATATTTTTTGAAAAGGAAATTGTATAATTCCACCCTAAATTTAAATACACAATCAAATAAATACATGGTCATTATGATTCTAAATATTTTTATACCATTTAAAATTACCTCCCATACACCAGGCCCTTCTACTTTCACCCTAAGTTATCTGGTTACATCCAGAGCCATCATGTCTGGGACAAAGATTATTACCACAACCAATGTTTCTAGTTAGTTTACTTTTGGTCTCATTTTGTTCCGTATTTAAAATATCCTTCAAATCCCATTAAGAAGGCAAAAATAAGAAAAGGAAGTCTAGTGCTTTGACCTCCAGGTACATCTATCCAGGACAGCCTGGCTGTCAGCCTAAAAGCAGAGAAACCCATGTTAGACCCACTCCAGAGGGGAATGTGGCTTGGTAAGCCCTTCTACATCTTGCCTGAGCACCTTACCTTGAGCTGCAGGGGATTGGATTTGCCCTTTCTTGTGCAACTCGAACAGTCTGTCCCCAGAATTTTATCTCATTCCAGCTAGAATTCCAGACCAATCAGCATTCATCAGGCTGTTGCAACCTTGAAGTGTATTGTAGAAACATAAATAGCTCCCAAAAATGGTATCACAAAGGAAAGTGACACACAACAGGCACATCTTAATAGCACTTTCATATATTTCCAGTCAATCTCCCTTTAAATTTTACATGTCAGTACCTGTTGAACTGGTGAGGGGAGACTGCCACCAGTTTTCAGGGAGAGATCACTCACTCAAAACAGTTGTCAGGAAGATAACATGGCATCTTCAGACCCAGGGCAATAATTCTTTCTAAAGTTTAATGTCTGCTTTTCAGACTTGTCTTCTGGTCCAACTCTCCGATGGACCCATTATATCTGAACCTTATAAGGGTAGGAGGCTAAAATCCCAAATTTGCTAAGGTATCTTTAAGATGTCATAGCCCAAGTGACACTGCTAAAGTCCCTATCAAAACTGAAGAAATGAACAGTCTCCTCTTTTCTGAAGACATTCGCAGGATTTGGCCCAATGGGGGTTCAAAAAGAGTATTGAGCTTCAGTACTTGAGAATTCTAGCACATCACAGCACTAAGGTCCTTAATGTGCAGGATCTGGCAGAAGGGGCTGGAATACACAGTATTCATGTTGCTATTTAGGACAGGTAGAAGGGAGACTAGATGGGCACAGAGGGAGAGAACATTATAGATGACACCTACTTAACAGTTGCCTGAGTTTTTTCTCAAGCACAGATGACTTCTCCATTTTCCTGAACAGCCGAAACAAATATCTAGAGTTTGGATCCTGCATGAGCATTCGGGGATAAAACTGTCAAATAGCTCTCAATCATTACCTTATTTGGCCCCCAGAAGATCCCTGAGATTATTTTGTGTATTTTATAAATTAGAAAAGATGCAAAAATTTTTAAATTTAGGACTTATTAATAGTGCAAGGGGTTTCATGTGAAAATTCCATATATACATACAGTGAATTTTGAGCAAGTTCATCTCTCTATTATATTCCCTTAACCCTCCCTGCATCTCTCCCTTTAAAAAATAGTATTTGGAGGGGTGGGAAATGAAAAGATCTAAAATCTAATCTTTTAGCTAAATGTTCCTGTCTTCTTTGAAGTTCACATTTGTTTGTAATATTTTGTCAACAAATATTAAGTGCCCCAGTAGTTTTAAAATAAACTGGTAAGTGTTCTTGGTTGCTTCTTTTTTTAATTATAAAACTTTTATTATTTTAACAATGATAATGTGTGCTCATTTTAGGAATATGGAAAGTACAAATTAAACAGAAGAAAAATCATTCATAATACTATCACTGAGATTGTTCTCTCCATCTTTCATTCTTCACAAATTTTATATGCATATGTAATATACAAATGTACTCTTAGTTTTCAAAAATATGATATTCGCATATTACTTAGTAACTTTTTTCATTTTATATTCTATTAGGAATCTTGTTTTTTTGTTTTTGTTTTTGTTTTTTACAAATCAGTAAAGCTCTCTGTTAAAAGACAGAGACTTGTAGACTGGTTCAAAGTACAACAAACAATGAAATGCAGATAACAAAAGGTACATCTAAAACCACTAACAGCAACAGGTTAAATGGAGAAAGATGGACAAAGATATATCAGGAAAATGCTAATAAAAAGAAAGCTATATGGCAATGTTAATATCAGATAAAACAGAAAGCAAGGTAAACTACATTAAATAGGGGTATGGATGGTTTCGATTAACCTTCCAACGCATCACTATGAGTTTATTTCTTACTCTCCTTATCTCATCTATTTCATCCACTTCTCTAAATGTATCTTCATTGCTTAAATGTCTGTTATGTATGTCTTCTTTAAATTCCTGGAGAGATTGAATCAGCCTTTCTCTAAAAGTTTCTTTAGTTTTTTCCTCCTCCTCCTCCTCCTCCTCTTCCTCCTCCTCCTCTGGTTCTTCCTTCTCCTCTGGCTTTTCCTCAGGCTTTGGCTCTTCCTCAAGCTTTGGCTCATCATTTTCTGGTTTTCCTTCAATTTTTTGACAAGGTTTCATCTTGTGACTGTCTGCTTCTTTCTTCTTTCCTTCTTCCTGCCTATTCCTCTTTTAAAGCAACTACTTCTAGGAAAGCAAGAAAAAAGACAGTAAGTCAAGGGCTGGTAAGAGTACAGGGGCTCTGCACAGGGATCTCAGGCTTTGCTTTTTCTGATTCAGAACTGTCGTCACCCACTATCTTCCACCTGAAAAGCCCAGTCAGCAATAAGAGCTTCCCTGGGTCGGGCCCCTCTTACCTCCACTTTCCACTGCCTTCCCTTCTCAAGTCCCCTCCTCCAGTCTTCCTGCCTCTCAACCTTCCCCAACCCTTTCTTCCTAACATAGCCTAACACAGGGTCTCCCAGAACAGAGTAAGTTGGCCTCAGGGGAAAGAAAGAAGGGGCAAGGGAAAAGGGACAGTGGGGCCTGTAACCCCTGTCCTATCCTTATCCACCTCCACCCTAGGAGTCCTTATAAAGTTCCTCTCACCGTATTGATCCAGTCAGTTTCTGCCTCTTACTTTTTTAGCCTTGGGCAGTGCTAGAACAGACCTGCAGACAAACCGAGAAGAGAGTGGATAGTGGGGGTGGGGAAAGCGTTTGGTGCTAAGCGTACCAGCAACAGACACCAGGCACACGTTGCTTTCCTCGTTTAAGGTCTCCGTTGTGGAAACTTTCCATCTTTTGTTCCCCTCTAGTATACCTCCTTCCCACAGTGCAAGTTAGCTCCTCTATCTCATCAGATAGGGAATAGGAAAAGCAGTTTATTTTCAAACTATCATTACAACTGAGGTGGGGCATGGGGCTAGGATAGGTGTCAGAAAAGAGGTCCGAGATCTCAGAAGATGATTATTTTCAAACTATTACAGGTCTCCTAGTCCTTTCGGGATCCTTAGCTCCTTTCAAAGGGTCATTTCCTGCTGAGTTGGAGGTAGGGGTGGGGGAGGGGTGGGCTTGACTGGGATTCCTTCAAGTCCCTACCTTTCACAGCCCCCACTCTAGAAATCCCCAGGCAACACTCGAATTGACACCCACCTGCAAAATTCCCGCGAGCTGGTTCCACCCGCTGGCCTCCTGCTCCTCCGCTTGCAGGGCTAAAGGAAACTGGTACCCAGACAGGAACAAGGACCAGACTAGCAGGACTTCTGCACACGTCGACTCCTGGTCACATGGGATCCACGTCACCAGTGAGCTCCGATCCCCAATTTCCACTCCCACCAAAAGCGCGGCAGATGTGGGTCCGCCCTCCACTCCCTCTCCGACCCCCTCCATTACACATTTGGCCCCGTCAGTCTTTTCTCTTGTGAATGCCAGAGGGAAAAATGTTTTTTAGTGTTCTCTGATTACTGGCGGAGGTGGGGGAGGGGAGGAGAAGGAGGGTGCTGCATCTTTTTCTGGAGCTACTGAATTTTTCTACTTCTTTTCAGAATTGTCTCTTCAAGTCTTCTCTCAGGATCATTAACTCCTCCATCCTTCGTCCCCCCTCCCCCAGCTTCCATTTCATCTGCAATCTCATGCTTAGCTGATGTGGAATCGAGGGGCGGGGGACTGGGTGGCAGCTATAAAAATAAAAAGGAGCCTGGAACAGAGTGAGACTTTTGAAAGCAATTTTAAATGCACTCTTAGTATTTCTATAGTCTTTTAAAAAGTAACTTCTATGTTTTTATAGTTAGAAAAGAGGAAAAAATATTTTAGTTACATGATAGTACCTTGCATACAGTAAGTGCTTTAAAAGTGCATGCTGTTATTATAACTATATTGTGATTTTATCTGGGAAAATCATTTAAAATGAAGAAAAATAATGTTTCACTCTAGAGCTCTGGTTGTGGTATTGCCAGGGATGCCCTGCCCAAAGAATCATCAACTGATCAATGGTGAGCCTGTTTGCTCATCTGAAACAAGGTAATAACAACATACAATTCATAGAATTGATTGTTGAAAATTCTTAATGATAGCATTGGTGTAATCCATTTGGCCCATACAAAGTCTCATCCTTTCTCATTTTATTTCATTTGCTTTTATATCACAGTATTGTGTCCTCTGGGAAGCTTGTGCATTTGAGCCTTTAAAAACTCAATATTGAAAAGTCTGGGTCTGCTGGACAGAATACTGGTGTGAAACTGGAACTGTTTGCCCCTGCGATGGTTTGGATATGGCTTAATCATGTCCCTTGTACCCAAAGGCAAATCTAAGTAAACCCTCCAGTTTCACTTGCTTTTACTTGACTTTAAAAGTCACTAGTTTTAGAGGTCAAGAAGCTGAATAATTTGTTATTGTTCCCCCACCATCTTTACTGTAGATACTCCTGTGAGGTATGATCTATGATAAAGCAGTTGCCTAGGTTATTTTTCAGTGACTTAAAGGCCACTTTTCTGAAAGCACTAACACTTCACTTGGGCTGACTAAAACAAGACAAAAAAGTTTGAAATCTGTGCTTTCATGTTATGCACTTTTTTGGCAGTACTGGGATTTGGACTCTGGACTTCATGCTTGCTAAGCAGGTGCTCTACCACTTGAGCCACTCCAACAAACCTCTGCTTTCATCTTTTATCTGTCTCCTTTGTTACCTGAACCTTTGGGTCAAATTTCTGCTCAATTCTACATGAAGAAATATTAATCATTTAAGAAATGTTTTGTCTGGAGCTATAATGCAAGATTGATTTGCCCTAAGCATACTTAAATCTCTCTCCTCCCCTTCAAGGCTGCAGACATGAAGATAAGAATAACTAAGTCAGTGTCTCACTCCAAGACATTAGAGCTGTGCCTATTCATCAGTTCTTTCTTGCCCACTGCCTACTCCCTCTTGGTCCTCCTTTCCTTCCTTATAAAGCCTTTTTACATACCTGAGTTTCATAAGATAGTCTTTGTTGGTGGATACCCTCCTATCTTTTTTTCCAAACAAATCTTTTTCCTTATTTCAACAACTTGTCTTCAAATCATTGGCCTTTTTTAGTAATAAGTTAACAAAACTGGGTTCAGAAATACCTCAAGGGTTTATGTGTTGAAAGCTTGGTCCTCAGTGTGGTAATGTGGGAGGTGAAGGAACTTTTAAGGGAGGGAGGTGAATGTGAATATATATGATCATTCCCTTCAGGAGTTAATTGAGTAAAAGTGGTAACTAATGATCAATCATGATCTAACGATGTGGTTTATTGAAAAGAAAAACTAGGGGAAAGAGTTAACACTTAAAAAACAAATCATACACATATATAACAGATTATAAATTGTTTATACCATTATATTCTGAAGTATTTTAGATACATAGGTTTAAACAAACCATATTATAAAAGCTAAAAGAGTATCTATCTGAGGAAAATAATATTCATAAGATAAGCATACTCCATTCAAACTATTTTCAATATTACTTCCATTAAGGAATTCATTAAAAAATAATTGAGGACTAAAACATTAGTATAGATAGAAATAACTAAGTCAAAAAGTTCAAGAAATGATACCTATTCTAACTCTTTAGAAACTGGACTTACCATTTTAAATCCTTTCAGTTATCTGTTTCTTTTCTTGCTATAATATTTTGTTCTAGAACATGCAAATAGGGAAGATGGGAGGATACATGGAGAGCAGCTCAAGCTCTACTCTGCTCCCAGTCAGCCAATGGGGAACCTGCAGCCATGGAACATCAGTCATTTGTCCATAGTGTGATGAGGTTTCCAAGTAGAACCATTATTGAGATATTGATTGAACCAATGTTGATCCAGCATACACTCTTGGGGATATACCCAAAAGACTGTTACTCCAGAGGCACCTGCACATCCATGTTTATTGCGGCACTATTCACAATAGCCAAGTTATGGAAACAGCCAAGATGCCCAGCACAGACGAATGGATTAAGAAAATGTGGTATCTATACACAATGGAATTCTATGCAGCCATGAAGAAGAACGAAATGTTATCATTCGCTGGTAAATGGATGGAACTGGAGAACATCATTCTGAGTGAGGTTAGCCTGGCCCAAAAGACCAAAAATCGTATGTTCTCCCTCATATGTGGACATTAGATCAAGGGCAAACACAACAAGTGGATTGGACTATGAGCACATGATAAACGCGAGAGCACACAAGGGAGGGGTGAGGATAGGTAAGACACCTAAAAAACTAGCTAGCATTTGTTGCCCTTAATGCAGAGAAACTAAAGCAGATACCTTAAAAGCAACTGAGGCCAATAGGAAAAGGGGAACAGGTACTAGAGAAAAGGTTAGATCAAAAAGAATTAACCTAGAAGGTAACACCCACGCACAGGAAATCAATGTGAGTCAATGCCCTGTATAGCTATCCTTATCTCAACCAGCAAAACCCCTTGTTCCTTCCTATTATTGCTTATACTCTCTCTACAACAAAATTAGAGATAAGGGCAAAATAGTTTCTGCTGGGTATTGAGGGGGGGGGAGTGGGAGGGGGTGGAGTGGGTGGTAAGGGAGGGGGTGGGGGCAGGGGGGAGAAATGAACCAAGCCTTGTATGCACATATGAATAATAAAAGAAAAAAAAAAAAAAAAAAAGGGAGGGAGGTCATTAGGTCATTGAGGGCATTGCCCTTGGGAGGAATTGATGTAGTTCTCATGGGACCCTGGTTAGTTCTCACAAAATTTTTGTTATAAAAGGGCAAACCTGATCCCTAAGTTGCTGTCCAGCTTCTTGTCTTGCCATGTGATCTATCCTTCTCATGCATATTCCTGCCGTAATGCTATCCACCATACTGTAATGTAGTCAGAAAGCCTTCACTAGAGTGAAGTCACAGTGGAAAAGCAGCAGACTGCAGCAGACTTATCCACAGGCATGCGCACATGCACATGTACATTCTCATAAGCCTGCTGGATGCTTTTGCTAGAGATAAAGAAGACAAACTTCATAATTCTGCTAAAAGCAATTCAAATTGCACCAATGGTATGTACCAATCAAAACTAGGAAATGACTATTCAACACAATTATTTATAATAGGAACAAGTAAGAATCAAATTAAATCTTACAATAGGATAAAGGTTAAATTAATTATTATGTAGTAACCATATAATAGAATTCTAACAAAACAGTTCAATATGGCTGTTATGATAAAATGTATGTGTCCCTCTAAAAGTTAGGTGCTGAAGCCTAATCCCCAACATGATAGTATCTGGAGGTGAGGCCTTGGGGAAAAATTAGGTCAAGATAGTGGAGCCACCATGAATGGAATTAATACTCTTATAAGAAGAGATACAAGAGAGCTCACTCCTTCACTCTGTGCCCTCTACTCTGTGATGATACATTGAGAAGATGGCCATTGCAAACCAGGAAATAAGCCCTCACAAAACAATAGATCTGCTGGTACCTTGATTTTGGGCTTCTCAGCCTCCAGAATTGTGAGAAATAAATATTTAAGCCACTGGCTACAGCAATTTGTTATAGTAGCCAAAATTAAGAAAGAGATCTATTGAGAACAGAAGTGAGAGTTAATTTTTCATCTATATAATTAGAAAAGATGGAAAATGTTGACTATACTCAGGGTTATACTTTGGATCTGGAATGTCCCCCCAAAGCACATGTCACAAAGGCTTGGACCTCAGTTTGCACCATTGAAAGGTGGCCACCACCTTTAATTGGTGGGGCTTACTACAGTGTTTTAGGTCATTGGGGGTATACCCCATGGGGATTGTGGAGCACAGGCCATCTCCTCTCTCTCTCTCTCTGTCTGTCTGTCTGTCTCTCTCTCTCTCTCTCTCTCTTCCGGCCACCACAAGGTGAGCAGCTTCCTCTGCTATACACTCCCACTATGATGCACTGTGGCACTATAGGCCCAAAAGCAATGAGGTCAACTGATCATGGACTGAAACCTCCACAAGTATAAGCCAAAGCAAACTTTTCCTCTTTTTAAAGTTGGTGACCTCAGGTATTTTGTTACAATAACAGCAATCTAACTAATGCAGAAACTCAGAGTTCATGAGGATATGGAAAAACAAGCATTCACAGGCACCATGAGAATATAAAATAGTACATTTTTAGAAGGCATTTTGGGAATATCAAACTTTAAAATATACGTGCTTTTGGACATTTCATTTCCTCTCTTAGGTTTATTGTACAGAAATGCAACCATGTCAAGGGCTGGATGTAGTGGCGCAGGCTTG